TCCTTAACAGAAACTTTCATCGACTTTCAAACACACAGTTCCCCATTTTCATTGGTGTTAAATTTTACATTTCAAATAAATAGCCAACAGAAAATTGGAAAACTGTATTGAACTCAAGCAAGCAGAAAACCACTGATTTTTAACTTTTACTTTTAATTCTTTACTTTTAATTTCAAGGAAAAACGTTTGTTTTTAAATTTTTCCATTTCCTCCGGCTCGAAACCCAAAACACGACTGATAAAAACGTCCATAAAATAAATCAGCTCACATTGTAAAACTATGGCTATGTCGAAATACTCAATTCTTTCAATTACATGTGAGGTCCTGAAACGGTTGCATTTTTTCTTTTCAGACACAAAAAGTACCTGCTTTGATTCCAAATATATCTCTACAATTTACAACTAATACCAAATTGCTGCCAGAAACGACGTCTCCTTACGTACTGGGGCGGATCTAGGATTTTCTCGAGGGAGGGGGCGGATTTTCGAAAAATTCAAATTTAGTCAACTTTTTTTAGTTCGACCAAATTGATCTTCCAAGCTCTGCCAAAGCATTAACAAGACCCTGTTGTGGCCACTGATTTTTAACTTTTACTTTTAACTTCAAGGAAAAACGTTTGTTTTTAAATTTTTCCATTTCCTCCGGCTCGAAACCCAAAACACGACTGATAAAAACGTCCATAAAATAAATCAGCTCACCTTGTAAAACTATGGCTATGTCGAAATACTCAATTCTTTCAATTACATGTGAGGTCTTGAAACGGTTGCATTTTTTCTTTTCAGACACATAAAGGACCTGCTTTGATTCCAAATATATCTCTACAATTTACAACTAATACCAAATTACTGCCAGAAACGACGTCTCCTTACGTACTGGGGTGGATCTAGGATTTTCTCGAGGGAGGGGGTGGATTTTCAAAAAATTCAAATTTAGTCAACTTTTTTTAGTTCGACCAAATTGATCTTCCAAGCTCTGCCAAAGCATTAACAAGACCCTGTTGTGGCCAAAATTTCTGCGCCGTACCACAGGCAAAAAATTTTAACAAAACAGGCGTATTTAGGCTGTTTTTGGAAAACTTAGACAAAAAAAAATCGCGTTAAAGACTATTAACTAACTGTTTAACTGATTTAGCTTAAATATGGAGTTGCTATAGGTGCTATGTATAGTTAGTGTCATTTATGAGTTGTTTCGAAGGGGGAATGTGGTGTAGAGGTCGTAGTATAATTAGGTATGTTATTATATAATATCATATGATCATCAAGGTCAAAGTTATAGTGAATGTCGTTTGTTCACACAGCCAGTGTGTTAGCCAATGAGATTGAATTTAAGTTGATTCTTTTACGTAGTTATTACGTTACCGTTTACGAAGTAGTGCATAGGCATACTTCTACACTGGCCATTCAAACATCAAGTTTAAACATAACTGCTCGTATCAGTGCGACGCCCTGAATTTTCCAACGACTGCCCTTTGATTTACATGAAAAAGGCTAACAAATGAAAAAAATAATTGAATATTTTTGATTATCTTTTTAAAAAATCATCCTCTCTCACACGCTATTTAATGTACAAGTCATATACTGAGCATGTATAAACATAATAATTCGAGAAGACGAATTGTCATTTTGTACAAATCTCAAAAATTTTCAGAAATTCAACTATGGCGGCAAGGCGCGAAAATGAAAACCCACTTAATTGTTGACATTTTTGAAATGCATATTTTATACAGAAATGGTTGTAAAAATAATACATGCAAAGGGGGAAATAGTTAACAAGGCCCAAAGGGGGGTGATATTTAAAAAGATCCCATTTTTGGTTTACTGATCTTTGGTTCACCAGTTTTCGATTTACTGACCTACCAAGGTCAATAAATTGTCATATTGTTTCAATCAATTTCAGTTTATCGCAAAAATGAAGCATCTCGTCCTTAGCCACCTGATTTATTGTTTAGTCAACCTTTAAATGATTAACTCAACAGTTAAACCAAGTTAATTTTGATCGTCGTAAAATCATCTCATCCTTGTTTAAAGGGGAAATGGATCAGAGATGGAGTGAGGGAACTAGAAAATCAATAACCAACAGACAGTTGGAAAAGTGTCAGTGACCGCAAGAAAACAGAAAAAATTGCGGACTTATTTTTTGAAACAGAAACTCAATTTTCGAATTTCGAAGAAAAAATCGATAAATCGATGGCCTCAAAGCTCTGAATTTCTAGAACAATTTATGATTGACACTTTGTTGATGAACCTAACCCAATTTGAAGACAGAAACGAGGCTGCGCTTGGCAAACTATTGCGAGGACACGACGAAAAACAGCTCTATCAAGTGAAATAAAAAAAAGTAGAAATAAGCCTCGAATTAACAAAAACTCGGCTGCGTGTAGGATTCCAAGCTCCGCCCTACAGCAATCAAGAGAATTTGAGTCTCAAGAACTATCCACTCAGCAACGTAAGCTTAACATCCGACAAACACTAATCACGAATAAAACAGCTGCACATGCTAATAAATTGCCAACTCGATGCAGCAAAAGTAGCACTAAATACAAAAAGATACAATTTTGCATCTAAAAAATCACAAATCATAAAGCCACATTATGTATAAATTGTGCATTTCAAAAATTGCGAGATATATTGACTTCTGAATCTAGAATTTCTGAAATCTAGTTTTTATGATTGTTATGTTGTTTGAAACAAATAGCTTGTTTCGGTTCATTTGACGAATTAAAAATGCATCAACTGTGTAAACTTATTACTATTTTAATGTCAAAGCAAATGATATGAATAAGCATTAAAGGTGCCCCGAAAAATGGCACCAATATTTGCGACTTAGGTAGGAAAAAAAATAGTACTAATACACTTTGCTTCGCAAGTGAAATCAACACTCTATAATTATACATACAATGGTCTGAGATCTAGATATAGCATGAGTAGTAAATAGTACCAGTAACTAAATTTGAATTTTCATGAAATCGAGCATGTAAGCAACCTAGTAGCATCATCAGTGAGTCAACTGATTTTATTAAACTAGTTGTTAAACCGAAACAAGTCTATATTGCGACTTGATAACACCTGCTAATCGCAAGCGTCAATATATAGAAATATGAATCATTTTAAAAATTCCGATATACCGTGGGAAACATTCAAAAAGACATAAGAGAACCGATAAGTACGTCTCTAAGCGAAAGCAAAAAGCCACCAATGAAGACCTTAGTACAATAGCTAGCAAAAAGCAGGCAAAATAGAAAAAATGCAGCAAGAAAAATAAATGATTTTTAAGCTATTTATCTATGTCAAATAAGTGTAATAAAGGTTTTCTCTAAGTTACTTTCGTTGAAAGCTACAGCGAAAAACATTTAAAAGTTGAAAAAATTGTGATACATTTCTACAGGGAGCTGAAAACAGTTTCGTCCACAGAAGAGATATGAACCTTTTAAAAATGTCAGCAATTCAAACGCGAACTAGGCTAGAAACTTAAACAAAAGGAGAAATGCCTCGGAATATTATTTTAAACTCAGTTTTAATTCAGTCGCGTTAGCTTGGTATAGTAGACTTCAGCGTTGTAACTTCAAGAGCCGATCCAAAATACAAGCTCGTAGTAAAAAGTTGAGAGGAAAAGAGTGTCACTAACATTTTTACAGACAGCGGAAATTCCCTGCTGACCTTTTTTTCTTTGAAAAACAACTTTTTTGCGAGACTTTCCAATAGAAACGACTGATTTTGAAATGAGGGGCATCAGTGATTTTTGACTACCGGACTGGAAGTGATCTTACCGGCATCAAGCAGAAAGATCGCTTCACTGTACAAGATCGCTTTTGTACAAATTAGATGAACAATTCCTTCAACATTGGATTCCAGTTATTTTCCAGGTGATTCGCCATACATATAATGGACCCAATTTACTACTGGAGATTTCAACATATTTCATCAATTCCTATTTGTCTTCATCGCCAAGCTTGTGTAAGTAAGGCCATGTTTTTTGTATTCGTTTTTGCTCTTACATCCTTTTATGGACATCTTTTAGCCATGCTTTTGTTTCACTAAAGACTACTTCAAACTTTTTGCAAGAAATCACATTCTTTTCAATAAATTTTCTCTGCAAAAGTTTTTTGAAAAGAATGTGACAGCTTCAACAATTGAGGCGAAGCTGTAGTTCGCAAAACTAAAACGACAAAAATTAGCTCTAGAAAAGAAGGCAAAAATAAGCCTGGAAAACTAACACTTCACAATGAGCCGGAATTGAACGCCGAACTGGAGAGTTAATCTCACATCCTCGCATCTATGGCATGTACACTTGCATATATCAAAACAGTAACCATCAAAAACGAAAAAAAAAGACATGCTAAAAATTGCCAATCCTATTGCTAATGCAGCCAAAGTGCTACCAAAAAAAGCGCGGTTGAATGCCAGTTTGATTGGAAAAAATTCGTAAAATAACAAAATGATCGTGTATGCAAATATGCATTGATGTTGAAGGATAAGTGAAACTCTCTAAACATAGCCAAATGACAGTTGAAAGAGTAAATAAACACAAAGAAACAGAAAAAAAAACTGACTTGTTTTTTTGAAAAAACTGAAAGTAAAAAATAAAAAATACTTAACAGCTCTTTGAATTTCAAAAACATTTCTGGTTGACTGACAGTTTTTCGATGAAGTCAGCTCAATTTGAGAAAAAACTGAAAGTAAAAAATAAAAAAGACTTAACAGCTCTTTGAATTTCAAAAACATTTCTGGTTGACTGACAGTTTTTCGATTAAGTCAGCTCAATTTGGTCTTCATACGTAACCTTGTAAAATCACTAATACACCATAAAATTTATGATCATGCAAAGCGAGGTGGGGTAAAAGGAAAAAGAGCCGAGTTTTTTTCCTTTTAACAAAGAAAATGAACTGAAATTTAAAAGAAATCAAAAAGGAACTGCGACAAAAATGTTTCAAAATACGGAAGAGCTCAAAAATGACTGTATTTAAAGCGTATTTAAATATTAAATGAATCTTGAATTCTAACCTTATTTGATTCTGACGATTCTCCTCTGTTCCCATTCGCGCATTCACTTTTATCACTTTGATCCATATTTGTCGTGTTTTCCGGCGGTATGCTTATCAGACACTGGAATGTGGGAAACTACGAATCAATTTGTCAAATCACTGACTGGCTACGTCATTATGCCAAACAAACCACATATCCTCTGAAAGTAGTGCCATCTGATTAACCAAAACGAAAACAGGAGCAGCCGCTTTCTACGCAGCTAGCGCCAAAGGTTCTAATCACAAGGCTATTGTTTTGCTTCATACTTGCCAGATTTCTTTTGAGAAAACTTCCAACTAAATCATTTTTACCTAATTCATTCACCCTAGATTTCCCATTTACTATGAAAACGCCAATTTTTCTGTATACTTTGCGACAAGACGCAGCCAACAGACAATTGGAAGTGTAAATGGGAAGGAAGTGAAAAAAAAATACAACTTCACAAAAATTACATCCCCTAAACTGATACAATAGCAAAATTATCTAACTGCCAATTTTTGATAACCTTAACCCAATATAATTGATTATACTGAAAAAATATTATTATAAATCCTATTGCTTTTACCAACAATTAATCATTCATGGAATTAAAAACGAAGAGCTAAATTTTGCGGAGAGCTTAACTTAAGCTCCGGCCGCAAAATGTGTTTTCAAAAATGTTGTCGACTTTTTTCGGGCTTTTTTTGGTCAAATTTGACCAAAAAATTGCATTTTTTGGCGCGCGCTCCCCTTCAAAATTCTTATGGGGTCTTTAGAAAAGTTTTAATGTTGGTCCGTCTAAAATGAATGTCATAAAATATTACCAAAGGGGGACCCTTTGGCTGCTGAGGGGATCGAATCCCTGAGGGGACGAGAGGCGTCCGCCCTTCCCCCCCTAAATCCGCCCCGCCCAAATGTTTTATCATTAATGAAAGTGAAAACTTGTTGTCAATTCAAAAAACGTTTCCCAAAATATTACATCGGATTTCTTCTTTTTCCAACTTCCAATTGAAGGGAGGGAGCTTTGAATTTGTGTTCTTTCTAATCACGTAAAATCGTATAACGCAACAAAAATTGAATAGGTATAAGTATAATCGTTTAAGTAAAGGTCGTTTTCAAAATTGTTTAACTATTGGCTGTGAAAATTTTCCTGATTAAAAAAATAAGGTTACCAAAAGTTTTATTAATACCAGTTCCTTTTTCAAAACCCAAACTATTTTAAATTATTTTGGTTAGCTGGTCGAAACTTAAATCCATCTCTTCATTCCTCGCAACAGCAACGAAAAATAGCAGCACTCAACTAGCGACTTAATTTTAAATGAAGCAGCTTGAATTTTACAAAATTAAAAAAATCTCGGATTTCCGAGCCTCATTTATGTGAGAGAACGATTGCAATCAGTTCAAAAGAGTTGAAATGAACTTCGTAGTTTTCGAAAAAAAAAATCGTTTCACATATGTGATATTCGTTGTTCGAGTGCTGCTGAATAGCCAATTCATCAGCAGATACCGTGTAGAAAAAGTTTAAGTATAGAGATCATTGGAAAAACATTTGCTAATAGAAAGTTGGAAAAGCGTCATTGAACTATTTTAAAAAATGAAAAAATCTAATTGCCTTCTTTATGAACATTTTTAAAGTTTCGAAGAAAATACAATACGCTGTAACTCTTTGAATTTCAGAATCGTTATGAATAGACACTTTTTTCAAAAATCTAACACAATTTTAAAAAAAAACTGGTTCAATAGGTTTTCCTTGGGAAATTTGAAAACAAAAATCCAATTTTGAAACTAATATCTTCGCAGTACTTTTCGCATTTTTCGCACCATTTATGTTTTTTCGACAAAAATTAAACAGAAGGTCGGAAAATTATGAAGATAGCCAGCAGAAATTTGGACGATTCGATGAACACAAGTAAACAGAAAAGAAATATGGACTAATTTTTTCGAATTTCAAGGAAAAAAATTGATGGATTGAAGCTTTTTACATTTCTAGAACAAATTGTTATCCGAAATTTTTTGATCAAACAGCCCCAATTTGTGAAACTTTAATTTGCTGAGAAATCTGAAAATTAAATTCCACTTTCGAGACTAGAATTCGATCACGTTTATCGTGAACTTTAGGCTTTCAATTTTCGATTGTGGAGTTTGTATTCGAGAAAAAAAACGGAAAAAAAAATTCGCGACCTCTATAAGGGTCTAGGCTATGTTCATGGACTCTTAAAAGAACAAAGATTTACACAGAGGCGAAATTTCGCTTCGAAAACACTAGCAAAAACATGCCAAAAAGGCAGATCTATAGTGCTATAAAAAGTAGAAATAAGCCTCGAATTGGCAAAAAGTTCGGCTACGTCTGAGATTCCAACCTACGACCTATAGATTAACAGTCTCACATCCTAACAACTCAGCCACGGAAGCTTAATTGCGAACAGCTAATCATGAGTCACAAATAAAGCAGAGAACAGATGCTATGCAATTTCCAATGCTACAGTGAAATTTCCAAAAGAGTGAATACTTTTTATGAACACTTTTATTTGCGAGTTAGATTGAAAAAGATGGTTCTTAATAATACACTAAGCTGAAGCTAGTGTAGTTAATTATGAAAAGTCATCAACAATCAAGAGCCATCGTTTGCTCCACATGGCATTGCAAAAGCAAAAATCGAGCTGCACTTGGTAAATAAACTCCAACTGCAAGAACATTGGCGACACAAACTTAAGAGAAAAAGCCAAAAGGAGCTCTAAAAACTCAAGAAAAAACAGTAATTATCATTGAAAACAAACCTTATAAAAAGCTTTTCATGACTGTAGGATTCGAACCAAGCGCCTCCAATTAGAAACATATCATTTTATTACAACAAACTTGAGCGTATTTACGCGAACTCTCAACGCAAACTACGGTCCATGGTAATTACTACTCAAAGAAAGCGTGTACAGCTCAGGCTAATTTAGTAACGCAGGGAAGATATAATTTAACATAAAACAATAATGCTATTCGATCAACTACTTCGGTTGAAAAAGCGGACCCATATTATAATACCAGCTGAACTTGTCAAATAGGGTAAAAGATAAAGTATTTTTAGTTTACACAGACGCGAAGCCGCACTTCGCAAACAAACGAAAAACTAAAACAAGTATCTTCAAAACATCAAAAAAAACGCAAAAAAGCAAAAGCATTAATGAATTTCAAAAAACTTCTTTCCGGGAATCAAATCTGAATCCTCAGACATCCAAATAATCAAGACGAGAAACTTACAGAACTGTGCCACAGACGCTTGCAGAAATGAAACACTAGCTACTCATAAAATGTAGAATACATGCCAAAACGGGCATTTATATTTCGAGTTGGGTTGGAAAAAGGATCTTCGTAATATAACGGTACGATCGCTAGCTGTCTTGTGCAACCATCAAGAACACCAAATCGATGTCACTATAATTGGAACGGCAGAAATCCTCGTCGACGGCAACAATCGCTGACAAATTTTGGCTCCGACATATTTTTGGTCGGAATAATTTAGCTCACTCACTTTCCCGTCATAGGCTAAATTTGAAAATGTTTTTACAGAATTTTGGATTTCGTACATAACAAAAAAATCAAATAGTAGCTTTTTGAGGATTTATTGATATGAAATTCCCATGGGAATATACCAGAATAAATATAAACAGTTGAAAAAGAGTGAATGAACGCAAGGAACAAAATAATTGTTTTTTTTTAAAGTGAACTTTCGAATTTCACAGAAAATTTTTTATGACATTAAAGCTCTTTGAACTTATGATTGACATTTTTGTGATAAACTTAATACAATTTGATCAATTTTTTTTCCGCCGAGAAATCTGAAAATTCAAAATCTACTTTTGAAGGTAGAATTCGTTCACGTTCTTAGGGGCCTTTAATCTTTTGCTGTTCGATAGAGTAAAACTTTTCCCTGAAAAAAAATCACCAAGACCGTACATTGACCCTTTATACATAGACCGTACATATACGTACATTGGCTCTTTAAAATTCAACTCTATAATATGCGATTATCAGTGGCATTTTTTCCTAAGTTTTCCATATCCTCAGTCAGAAACCGCTCATGTTTGTATTTCGACTAGTCTCCTTTCTCGTCAGGTGCTGAGAAAAAAATTAAATAGTCCGCAAAATTATATACAAAAATAAATTTCATAAACGATTCAATAAACTAAATTCGACAAACACTCTTTGGAAAGAAAATAGTTGAATTGTTATAATGCAAGGTCGCTCTCTAGTTCTACTGATTCGGAAAGAAGTCCACGTGATTAATCTAGTTTCAAAATGTTTACATAGCAATGCATTTCCACGACTATCGGAGAAACTCATTTTAAATGATTTGTAGATCAATTCTGAATCAGTAGCTATTTAGTTAAAGGAGGCACAAATATCATGGTTTATCGGTTCAACAGCAATACCGCTTTATCTGACAGATTCAAAGGAAATTTGACGTGCAACTGGGGGAGCTGGGAATTGTCGGTTCAATATGTTTTCTAAATCACAAAATTGGGTTACGGTGTTTAGTCTAGAATATAAGTTATTAGGGGTGATACTCTCTACTTTAGTGTTTTTTTAATCTATTATAGACATGAAAATACATGTGCATTAAAATACCTGTGAATGAAAGTACCTATGCCGTTTTGGCGATGTGCTTAAAAAGACAATTAATGGTGTCGTGGGAAAGGGGGAGGGGCGAGGGGGGTTTGCGAGGTAAATTGTAGACCCGGATGTTATATTTGGGGGGGGGGGGGGGGGGGGGTGGTTGCAAAATCACATTTCAATGGCCCAGCGGCAGTCTCCGAGATAAGTGAAACCAACAACCATGGTATGCAATCATCTCAATCACGATAGACAATTGTTCACCGAACAACCTGGCAGTTTTCACTTGATAGAGACAGAGTCAAAAAAAGAAACTGTCAGAGAATCGAGTTTCAAATTATATCATATACTTTCTGACTAAAATATATTTACAGCACGAAGTTTGAGGTTGAACAACCAAACAAATACAAATGGTCCAAAAAATTTGGTCCATTTTAATTTCAGTTAATTAATTTGGTAGTGTAAGATTGGCAAATTGCATTAACACTCAAGTGCATTAAAACTCAAAATTGTTAGCATAAAACATAGTATAGCGGCACACCATCACATCAGCTTTAATTTGATATGATCAAATGTTATAGTTGAAAGTAATAAGATATGTTAAAGAGTTTAAGGGCATATTTGATTGAATCAAAATTACATAGTCATTAAAAACACATCGCAGAATCGCCAATGCAACAAAAAACTCTTTGAACGCACGTTTTTAACTCACACATTCTATAGTTAGTAACAAATTTTTTGTCCAAAAAGTTTTTAAAAAGAATCACAGTAACGTTTTATCAAGGTCCGCCAAAAAAGTTCGTATGATTCAAAAAGATGATTGATAACAACGGCATAAGCCAACGCTAACTTCAAAGAAGAAAATTGTAACTTTTACGAATAACGGTTGATGTCTTTTTTTCTTTGGTTGGATAAAAAAAATTTGCTAGTCACTACTATCGTCAATATATTCATTTTGGCACATGATATTCGAACGCACATAACTTTACTTTTGCTGTTGTTGTCTCTGATAGCTTGATAGGAACAAAAGAAGCACGCCTTATGAAACAGCTGAAGATAGCCTAAAAAGGGCCAAACGAATGAATCAAAGACTATGTGCTGAAAACTGTTGACTATACTTGGGAGCTTATAATTATTGACAATTTAACTCTTTCTGCAATGCACCGTAAGAAACCTACAATCATCTTCATGATATTGGAGTATTGTGAGGTGAAATTTTCGCAAATTCAGGTATACGTAGTGCGTGCAGATCGATGTTTACTCAGATATTACTAAATCAGAATCCAGATATTACCATATATTTTCATCTCATCAAAAATTCTTTAAAAATACTTGTCGCTTTCACTAATGTATTTAATACTTTTGTTGTTTCGTGAACGAGATCCACATTTTTGATAGCCCGAGGCCCAGCAATGCATCTGCACTGTAGGTTTAGAGTGAACAGAACAATATTTTGAGATGTTTCGATTGGATGTTGTTATTGCTGGATAATCGAGCTATGTTGTATGTTTCCTTGTTGCTGACTGTATATTTGCGGGTTTGTGCAGAAATGACGATGAGGTGGGGTGTTAGTCCTAGTCCAACAAGCATGGCAGTACATCTTGACCGATGAGGATGGCGAACACAAGGAACACTATGTAGAGTACCATCATGAGAATGCCCATGCCTAGATTGAGTTTCCACTGCATCACCAGGATACAGATGAAGACTGCTATCAACATGGCGAACAGCATCAGAATGTAGCAGATCAGCCCAGTTGAGTCCACTGTCACCTAAATCAACACAAAGTGACTCATTGAGGAGGCACCCAGCAGCGGATTTGATTGGGGCGGACGCCCCCACCCCTCAGCAAATCGACACCCTGCCAACCCAAAGGGTCCCCCTTTGTACTACAAGAAAAAACTTTCGGCAAATAATTTAAACGAACCAATTCTTTTTTTTGCTAATTAGTACTCAGTATGTCCACCTTTTGCTTGAATACGTAATCTTATACGTCTTTGCATTGAAAAATAAGTTTCCAGTAAACTTTGAGGTGCATTTATCCAAACATCAACAATAGAATAGGCCACTTCCCTAAGATTTTGCGGATTTTTCGCCCTAATTTTTTCGCTTCAAATAATCCTAAAGATGCTCGATTGGGTGCAAATCCGGACTGTTTGCTGGAAAAGGAATTTTTGTACTATTGTTTCCCTGAAAAACCGCGTAACAAGGTGGATGGTATGAGGTCTTGCATTGTCTCGTTGAAAAACCACAAAATCTTAAAAGGACGTTTAAAGGAATTGTTGAACTTCCGGAATAAGAATGTCATCGCGGTATTTCTGTGCATTTAAAGTTCCTTCAATGAGTTTTGGTCGAGTTTTGCTTTGAGCTGAGATTCCACCCCAGATATTCGAACTATTTTCTGACCATCTTTAGTACTCAAAAACACTTTTTGGGTTCAGACGTGATCCTTTTACTCTACACAAAAACTCCTCAATCGTCCGAGAAAAGTACTCTGGCCCAATCTTGTCTTCTCCAACTCAAAGCACATCGTTCCCATTCAATCTTGCTTTTTTATGGTGCTGTAGAAACACCATTCCACGATACTGTCGACAACAAAGTAAACCGTAGCCTTTGAGAACTCGTCTTACTGTTGCTTAGCCCATTCGCTTTTTTTGCAATTTGGAACGATTTTTTTTTTCGAAAATCTTGAACAATTTTTTTTGTTTCGATCGAATAGACATTTCCTTCATTGCCTGGCCTTGGCCTATCATTAACCGAATTAGTCGAATTGTAACGAAAAAATAACCTGGATAAAGTTGATCTGTGAGATAAAGTTGATGTGACATCCAAAAAAAAATGGATAACTCATTGCAAGACAAAAACCTTTCGATCGTCGGACTTCAAAGCAAACCTACATTTGTCCAAGAAAAGTACTCTGACCCAAGCTTGTCTTCTCCAACTCGAAGCACTTCTTGCTCATTCTAATCTAGCTCTTTTATGGCGCTGTAGGATATATTGTAATTTCGAACTGATTTTTTTTCCAAAATCTCAAAAAAAAATTCGTTTCGATCTAACAGACAACTTTTTATTTCCTGGCCTGGGCTTACATTCATCATCATCATCAAAACAAATTTGCTCTAAGCATTCCACTGGCTTGATTTCTGTGAGAAAAATTCAATGGTGGCATTTTTAAATTGAACGTACAAATTTTTCTATGAACTCTCTCAGAAAAATGTAATCACCATTTTGACATCCGTTTTACAGTTTTTATAAAAAAATTTTCAGGTTTCTCATTGTTGAAAAGAAAAAGAAAATATCAAGCTGAATTATTCTGATGATGCGTTTTCAATGTCGCCCAGTATATATAAGAGAACTCACTACGTTCATTACTCTTAAACATAGCCAAGAAATAACTGGAAGCGTCAATGAACTCTGTCAATGTAACAGAAAAGATTATTGACTTTTTCGCAACTTCCCGAGATTTAAAGAGAAAAATAAGCACCTTGAAGTTCTTTAAATTTCAAGGGTATTTTAATAAAAGAAAATTATCATAAAAGTAGCACAGTTGATCAATGGATCAATGGGCCAGTCATTCATATGTTTTGCCTTCCTCCTGACTTAACTTTAACTTCTACACAGATTCATTCACTACACAATAGAATAAAATGATTTTTTTTCCGAAAGATAGAAGAGAAAATATAGATGTGCAAAAAAGGAAGTGTGAAATTTGCGAAAAAAGCGGATACATCTATTTATAAATTCGGTTCATTAACCTCAGGTAAATGTTTTGCTATTTATTTACGGTTATCAATATTTTGGTCTTGTTTTTTTTTTCAACTGCACCTGAGGCAGATTGTTTTTAATCTGAAAACTCAAAAGTTAAAATTTAGTCGTAATTTGTATTTAAATTATTTAAGTTTGAGGTAAATTTATCAAAGTCTGAGACAGCTCAGTAGCCAAAGCAACATTGACGACAGACGTCGCGTTGTTGTCTTGGCTAGTCAAAAATGCTTAAATTATATTTCCATTCAATTTATTATCTCAATTGTCAGTTTATAGTAATCTAGAACTCCTAAGCTGGCCGAGAAAGTCAGACGCAATGGAAAAGAGGCTTATAATTTTATTTTCAGCGTCTTTGAATGGCTTAGTTCAAAACAATACTTTGGAGCAAAATTAGTATATTGTTATAAGGATGACCAATTTAGGAACAATTCACCAAAAACGCATTGTATGAAATACTCCAATTAGGGTTTCTCGAGGGGATGGATTTACGAAAACTTGATAAATTTTTTTTAGGTTGGGACCATTGATTTTCTAAGTTCAGCCGGAACATTACAAAAATCTGCGCGGTATTTTTTTTTCTTGAAAAAACGGGCCAAAAATTTCGTTTTTGAACGTTTCCTAAACTTTTGGAACGTTTCTTCGACAAGGGCTTCCCACTCAAATTTACTTTATATTGTTGCCCAAGGCACTTCAGAAAAATTGTAGGTTAGGTTTCATCGGCCGGAAATGGGTGTCTTGAAATGGAAATAAAGATCCGCGATTGCTGTGCAACTAGCACATAATGTTCCGACCACAAAGATTGAAGAAAAGAAAATAAAAACAGAAATTTTAGGAAAAAAATACGAATATTTTTTTCATTTTATTCTCAATATAGCGCTAAAAAGTCTATAGCTTTTTTTGAACGACTGAGGACAATTGAATCTCGTAAAAATCTGCTAAATAAAATAACAGCTAAATTAATATAAAAATTTCAAAATAATTAAATTGATAATTCAATTTTCATCATATCATACGTAAATGATGTGTCAATCATTCTGAAACTCGACGCAATCAATTTTTCTGGACACAAATATGCTATTTAAAAAATAAAATTAGTGGTTTCTGTGATTAGTACAGGATCTAAGATAGGCTATCAAGCCTGTCTAAGGATAGTTCCCTTTCTGTTATCTTCCTAGTTTCCAGACTGAGTGATTTTGTAGAGCGAAGCTTTTTCTTTGCGACTCAAGGCCGTTCTGTTGCGTGTAGACCTTTCACGTGGTACTACTCTTGCAACCGAAGGAAATAAACTGAGCTTAAAACACACAGACGAAGAGGAGCTTCGCGTCACTAGCGATACCACAAAAATATCAATACCAGCTAGCATACAGAAAAAAGCCACTTAATAAAAACAGATTGAAGAAACTTCGAAAAAACCACAACTTGAAACATTTCAAATTGTTGTTTGAAATGATGTTTTATTTGAAATGGAAAATTTCTATTTTTTTTAAACTTAATCTTCCCGTACGAAAAAAACCAGGTCCTGGTCAGCTTCGAACCCACCACTTTTTTCGAACCCACCACTTCGAACCCACCTCCGGTGCTTCAAATTTTCAACAACTCAAAAAACTATTCTTTGAGTGTACTCTGACAGCACCCAATAACAAGGTTTGTAATTAAAAAAAATTGCAACGTTTTTTATTCAAGTTTTTTACACAAATTTTGAAGAACCATAAAAGTTTGTGACCATAAAATTTTGAAGTTTTATTTAAGTTCTTCGAAAAAATTTAAAAAAAACTAAGAAACTTCACATCTGGGAAACTGAAAGCAGTTGAGCAGTCGCATTTGGACGCAAAATTTGCAACTCCTTAGAGTACCCTTACAGTACCCAACTACAACGTTGGGAAATTCAAATTTTGAGAAACTTCATCAGTTTTCTAAAAGAAAGTTTTCTAAAAGAAGTATTTTTTTCGAAAACTACCAAAATTTGAGCAGTATTTTTCGATGGAAATATTCGCAATCTTTGAAAGTACACAACTACAATTTAACGGCTGGGAATTTCAATTTAACGAATTACTTTGTAATTTGAGTTTTCTGCAAACTTCCATAAAAAAATCACGAAAATCGTCTTATCTCTTTAACAAAAAAAATTCGGGCATTCTTAATTGGAGGCCGAACTTGCAACCCCTGAGATTACTCTGACAGTCCCCCAACTACAAGCTAGAAATCTCCAACTTTGAAAAAAAATCAATTTAATTTTCATGAAATTTTTTTTTAAATCACAAAAAATATCAAAAAATCTGGAAAACTGCAAGAATTTGAGCAGTCCTTTTCAGAGGCAAGTTTCGCAACCCCCTGAGAGTACCCTCAAAGATTCCAATAACAGGATTGAGATATTCAAAGTTTTGGAGTTTCTCAACTAAGTTTCTTTGAAAACTTCGGAGAAAATCATAAAAAACGTCATATTTCGAAAACTACAAGGATTTGAGTAGTCATCTTTGGCAGCGAAATTCGCAACTCCTGAGAATACCCTGACAGAGCCTCAGTGCAGAGATGGTAATTTCAAGTTTTGTGAAATTTTTTTAATCAAAGTTTTCTGAAAAATTTTGAAAAAAATCCAAAAAAAAAACGTCATAGCTCGAAAACTACAAGGATTTGAGCAGCCATAATCAAAGGCAAAATTCGCAACCCGTGCGAGTACCCTCACAATTTCCAACAAAAGGATTGAGATCTTCAACATTTTGGAAATTTTTAAAATCTAAATTTTTAAAAAAATTTTGAAAAAATCATAAAAAACGTCATATCTCGAAAACTACAAGGATTTGAGAAGTGAGAATTGGAGGAAAGATTCGCAACCCCTGAGAGTATCCTGACAGCACCAAACTACAGGGTGACAATTTGAAAAATTGAGAAATTTTTTGAAACTAAATTTTCTAGAAAATTTTTGAAAAACCACGAAAATTGCCTATCTCGCTTACCAAAAGGATTTGGTTATTCATATATGGAGGCCAGAATCGCAAAACCTGGGAAAACTCTGACAATATCCTACTACTGGGTTGCTATTTTTAAACTTGATGAAATAAACACTGAAATCAACCTGGAAAATTGAAAAAAAACCTTTACCATTGCAATATACGATATAGCTTAAAAGTGAAAAAAATTCATTTGTTAAACATGCAAAAATAATACATTGAAAAAGCTTAAACTTGGCGAGATAGTAAAGCCCGCATTTAAATATGTAATAAAAGATAATAGATAGATAATAGATGAAAGTTAAATAATTAGTCGACGGGTAGACAGACATAATCAAATTAATTAAAAAAGCAGGTATAAAGACAACTTAATTTGGCCTCGAAAAAAAATACTGAAAAATTGATGACCTTGCGAAAAACTAATTGCACAATTTTTTAAAGCATTGCAATATATGATATAGCTTAAACATGAAAAAATTCTTTCGATAAACAAGCAAAAACATTACGCTTAAACATGGGAGATAGCTGTCACTCGCATTTAAATATAGTATAGATATAGATAGATATAGATAGCTAGATGACCATATATACCACGTGAGTCTGTTACACAAATTGTTAACCCGAAAAAAGACTTTATTTAGATTTGATAAGACTTGCTAATCGCAAGCGTAGAGACATCAAAAGTCAATCCGTGAAAAGTCAAACTTGACCATGAAAGGATTTTAAAGACTTTTTGAAAAAAAATGAAAAAAAAAAATCATCAAGACCATAAGTGACAATCATTTCGTTCTTTTACGCTGAAAAAGCCACAGAAAATAATGGCGTAATGTACCTTGATGGATGTTTCGATGGCGAGGTAGATCATCCAGGGAATTGGGAGTCCAACGCAGATGTCGAAGAGGTTGCTTCCAATCGAGCTGCTCAGAGCCATGTCTCCGAATCCTTTGGAGGCCACCAGGTAGGAAGTGATCAGATCAGGGATACTGGTGCCAGCTGCCAGCAGAGTCAGACCCATTATGCTGCTCTCTATGTCCAACAGAAAACCAATGCGCTCCACCCACCACACCTACACATGGACAAAACACAACATAAATAACTATAAGCTATTAGTGGAGCTTAAAAGAGGCTAGACCCTCCGTAACAGCTTCAGATTATGCCCGTCCCAAGCGCAACAACCAACTACTGGATAAAGAGGAGGATTTCTTGACACCTGTCATAGATCTAGACCAAAAAAGTTTGCCGAGGCTGCAATACGTCGATGAGATGTTTTACAACATTTTATCGATAACCTAATGATGAGGCAGTTAGCAAATCAACCGGGATTCTATGAATATATTAGCGCCAAAAACTTCAAGCTTTTCGCAAAAAAACTGACTCAAACAAATTTGAGAAATTTGCCCTCCAGTGCAAAGAAGTTAAGGTTTTAAATGGCAGAGTCCTCATTGCAAACATGACGCAAATATGGCATTTTTGTTCAGACGAAAAAAAATACTGCCAATCACTTTGGTATTCAACTCAGATTTTCTCAAATGGGGGTTCATTTTTACATAGTATTTCCTTCTTTCTATAGAAAAGATTTAAGTTTAATTCAAAAATCCCGTCTACAGTTTCTGTCAAACAGCAATTCTTTGTTATTGTTCGTATTACAATAAAACAAAGAAATGAGCTTGCGAGGTTTCAGATTCCATCCGATTCCGCAAAAACAGACAGCCTAAAAATCTCAAAATGCGAATTGATCAGACTTGAAAAACTGCTTTGACGACCAGCGCTTTATATTGCAGCCTTCTTAATCGCATTACAAACGTCAAAAGAAAAATTCATATTTTATAATTTAGTTAATCCTAGAAATTTGGCTGCCATAACAGCAATTTTCTATGACACAAATCATAGTACTGCTCCAAATACTAAATCTAATTTATTATTTGGTATTAGCATTTCTTATATAAGGAACGCAATCGTTTTTACAACATTTTTTGTTGTTTCCGTAACTATGATTACGACGACGCACGACGACGTAGAAAAAGTAAGAACTCGTACAAAAAAAACTAGTATCAGGAAAAACTTTTCAGAATTATCGGACTTCATAAATGAACCGGCCATACTGTTGAAAAACCTCCCAGCACCCTATATATGTCGCAAATTGAAGTTAATTTCCAGTGAAGTTTCGATATGTTTCACATTGCCTGAAAAAGGTTATTTTTTTAACTCATTTTAAACGATTCACAAAACTTAACGGGGTCTTTTCTGTAATACAATCTAAGAACAGGAAAACGTTTTCACCAGCTTTATTTCTAATTTTAAATTTTAGTCACTCCGCTTTCAGCAAAATTCTAATTTTCAAGATAATAATAACCTCAAAATTGACCAAAAATTCATAATTCTTGAACCAGAAAATGATCAATTACTGCTTTTATGATAATAAATGCTAATAACTGTTAAATGCGATTGTTTGAATAATTTAAGACAGTGAGAGGAATAACTTTAATTAAAAATAGCGCTTGCATAATCACTTTAGTTCGTTCTGATTTCTTCTTAGAGATCTTGGTAATATTCATCAGCCTTACCCGAGAGCAAATGCAAATTCAGAAAACTATATACCTTACAATTATTATAACTGCTTTGTCAATTTACATTAAGAAGAAGATAGGTGGCAGGTTTTGCAGTAATCATTGCACAAAAATGGCAAACATTTTTAACACAGATTATCCGTCTGTCTAATTGGTATTTGGAGTATGGATTAAGACTGAGGGTCCTAGACAGGTCGCAAGAAGGCTAAAGGTTGATTTAGCTGCCTATCATTCCAATAGTGCCTAAATGATTCTAAGGAGAATAAACCAGCCGAAGTATAAGCAGACACTAATGCGCAGAGTATATGAATCAGCTAAAAGTTCCGTCATTTGAATGAAACTAGCTTAATTTTCGTAATTGTTACATAATTTTTTATTTAACTATTATGTAACAGTTACTTACTTCGACTGGTTTAAATAACAGCGTTTCAATGTACCATGAAGTAAGAGTAGACACCGATCCATAGGATGCTCATGATGAAGGTGAGGAAGAAGAGTTGGCGGCCCCACCACCAGAACATACCATCTGCCTCCTTGTCAATCTCGCCATTATCATCAGGCACGCCCCTCCGACAGTCAGGAACAGTCACCAAGAGCAGCACCTGAATCATTAGTCACATAAACTACAGGATAAACCTGGCAAACTAGAGGAGTACTCAGTAGTTTTGGGTATTACGTCACAGAATGGTTCAATAACATGTTTCTATGCAACAGTTGTGTAACCATCCCTTTTTAATCGGCGCGTCCTGGACATTTTTGATGTTCGCCTCAAATTTAAAGTGCATTAATTTTGATCGAAAGTTTCACAGCATTATTTTTCTTCCAATGTAAAAAGCGTTAAGAAACTTTCCGACGTTAAACTCCTAGAAAAGCCTCATAGTTCAACGGAACTAAGCGTAGTTATGCTGAGAAATATCAAATTACAATCGATTCCATATCTTAAATACAATTTGACCAGTAATTACTAAAAATCTAGATAAAACTGGCTCAATGCTTACCTTCAGAGGCAAACTGATCACGTATAGCACTTTTCCATACCACTTCTTGTCACTGGGCCAGCTCAGATCCAGGGGTCCATCAGCCTCCTCGTCATCATCCTCCTCCTCCCCACCCCCTCCATTGTTCTCGTTCTCTTCCTTATCTTTAGCCTCAGGGGTGCTTCCCTTTTCCTCGTGCTCATCAGGGTGTTCCTCCTAATCCGAACAGAATTAGACTTTAAAATGAGATTTCACCAAGAAACTTTGGACTAAGTATAAAACGCACATTTTAATTTGGCAAAAATTTAACACAGGCGAAGTTGCACTTCGCATACAAAAGCAAAAACAAGACCGCAATCCAATTACAACTTGACTTAATTCCCGCAATATTGTTTATTGATGTATTTATATAATGCTGGTATGGGCCCTATCCAGCTTGTGCACGACCGTACCTAACCGGAAGGGTTTCTTTATAATTTATTTTTTATTACGACGCATTAGCAGTACCAGTCAATTTGAAAAAAAAAGAAATTTACCAACTAACATGCCTCAATTTAAGAGCGGACGCATTTTAACTAGTATAGTAAGTTGATTAAAAACATCGGACCCGGCCCGGGTTCGAAACCTCTTAATTTTTCGTGGGTCTCCTTCCCTACCTCTACGCTACAGATCCATGATACCTTGAAGCTAAAAGTCTATTTGAAATATAATAGTCTGTGTTAATATCCTTAGCATTGGCTGTACTTAATAGCTGGTTATTGATCAAAATGAACACATTTTGTCGCAACAATATTTGCGTCGCAACAATATTTGCGTCGCAACAATATTTGCGACTTAGGCTGGAAAAAAAGAGAGTTCATACTATAACACAAGCTTTGCTTGTGTAATAAGATGAGTTGAATCTATCTTATTGTCGCTAAATTAAAACAAGGATAGAGGGTTACTGTGCAAGTAGCACAGAATGTTCCGACCATAGTCTTTAGAAAACGACGGTTAAGAAAGTTTTTTTTCTAATTGGTGTAGTTTTATCTGCTTGGTGCGATAAAAGGATCTGACTTAAAAATATAGTTAGGCATTTTAGACAGTCAAAGTAATTAGGAAAAATTTTGACTTTTTTGGCTCTCAAAATCAAGCTACAAAACTAGTTTTGCTTGCTTAAATTAGTTTTTAAGGTCTTAAACTAGGCATAATGCAGCTGTTGTAAGCCTGCTCGCATGCTTTATTCACTCGGACCAAGACGAAAAATCAAAATCAAGGTTTTTCTCAACACTGAACATTTTTTGGAAAATTTTTAACGTGGTTGGAATCACGACTGCAAGGGCTTTAATATGATATATGACTCAAACACTCAACACATTCCGATGATTAGTTGTGGTACCTGATTTTGCGTGGAAAACAAACAAAAAATACCAAAACATTCCCGAACACAAAATTCCTCTCCATTTTCAATGGTCGGAACAATAATTTTTCAATTTCATTTAGACCAAATTGCAATTTTTCATCAAATAAATCCAATCAACATTGAGGTCTGAAATACCTCAAAATATAAGAGAAAAGTATTATGCTTGGCTTCAAGTGACACGGTTGAAATGAAAGCCAACAACTACACGCAGTAGGTCAATATCGTAAATAGCGGGGAGTACACCAACCTTTGAATGAGTTTTATGGAAAGGGTTTTTCTTCTCGTGCCCAGCTGTCTCCAGATCGCCTTCCTGGTGCTCCTGAGCTGGAGTCATGGCTGAATCTTTAGGCTGGATCTTGCTCTTCCACTTAGCCACTTTGGCAATAATGAACTCCTGGAAGCGTTCGTTGATTATCATGAACATGCAGTAGAAGACATACCAGACGAACAGGATCACTGCTTCGTATAAGTAGATTTTAGAGTCTGAGAAGAAGCCGATTAGGAGGGCCAGTCCGATTGAGTAGAAAGTGACGTCTCTCGTGAACGGATACCTAAAAAAGTCTATGAATATGGAATTCGGACATGTGATCTAAGAGCAGTTACTTCTATCGGTTTATTTAGTTAACACAAAAGCAAACCAAAAAAACTAGAAAAAAATTGCAAAAAGGAGCTCCGAAATGACGCAGAATTGAAGCAGCGAACATTAACTTTTTGAACTGAACATCTTATCAAAAATAAGCTTTGCAACGACTGTTACAAGTGGACAGTAAAGAAATCATCGTCTTAGCCACGTGCATTATAATACCGATGATAAATTCATCATGTTGTAAAATTGAGATGGACATAAGTGACATGAAGTACTGTTCAGTGTACCATGTGAGTTCGAGACTAGTTTTGTCCGTTGGGCCGAAGTAGGTTCCAAAAGCGCAGATAGCGATCACGAAGAGCACATTAAACACAGCAGATCCTACTATGGTTCCAATGCCTACGTCCACTGAGCCGGAGAACATGATGCCACAGAGGGATGTGAACAACTCCGGGGCACTGCCTCCTGCGGCCATGAATGTAGCACCCGCCACATCTTCCGGAAGATTAGTTTTCTCAATGATAACCTGTAAGAAAAACAGATTGTCAAAACTTCATTGAAACAAGCACAATCGATCGCAGTACAACAAACAGAATGCTCCGACCACATTTGATAAAAAATATATTTAAAAAAAAACGGTTTTTTTCTCTCTTTTTTTCTAGTTAGTGTTGCCTTTTCTGCGTGGCGGGACAGGCAAACTATACGAAAGCGTATTAGGTAACGAATTGGGCACAATCGACAACAGTTGTCTTCAAAAAAGAGTAACAAAAAAATGAAGTTTGAAAACAAAATCTTATTTTTTTCTTTTTTTTTGCACAATGCTTGGGTGAAGATTCTACAGAAGCAGGGGCGGATCTAAGATTTTCTCGAGAGGGGGGGGGGGCGGATTTTCGAAAAAACAGTCAAAAAAGCCGTTTTTGGGCACTTTTTGAAAAATTTTGACAAAAAAATTGCGTTTTTTTGGCGCGCTCCCCCTCAAAGTTAGTACATATTGGCGCCAAAGGCGCCTTTAGAAAAATTTTAGGGTCGGTCCGCCAAAAATGGATTTCTGAAAAAGTATCAAAGGGGGGACCCTTTGGGTCGGCAGGGGGTCCAAGGGGGTACAGAAGGGCAATCTTTGGAGATTGGTGGGCTTATTGACGAGCTCATTTGGCAGCAACAATCCGCGAAAAAAAAACTTATTTAAACATTCCCGAGTGGCATTCATATAAGTTTAATCTATTCACATGTTTGTATGTTTGTTTGACTAACTTTTACGCTCTACCATAAAAACTTTTTGGAAATCAGAACTGAAACACCAAATACTCTTCTGTAAAAAAGAAACAATACTGAAATGCTGCGGTAGCAGCCATCTATATACTTAATGTCTTCATTTCGATGCTATACCCCATTGATTTCCAAGTCTCATTAAGACTGGCGAAAGAAAACTTAAAATAAAGATAAAGCCAAATAATTCCACACAGGTGCGACATTTATAGTACAAAAATTAATTTTGAAAATGCGAGCGCTTGACTGAAAGTTTAGTTTTTCTGTTTAATATATTTTAAACATGTTCCAAAATTCGTCTATTTTTGGAGCAATTTTGAGCGGAACAGTGTTTTAAGTATTTGTTTGTGGAATCCATAACAGCTAAGAAGATCAAAGAAAAGTAGCAATGATGTGGATTCCGCAAAAAATCTGATGTTGGCCTGTTGTGGAACCCGCATACAATGCACAGAATGCACAGTTTGGCCTCGTAATGAAGCTGTTAAATTTTTATCGCCTGCTAAAAAATTATTTTTGCAGACATACATGTTGAGGGAAGATGAATTAAATAAACAATAGATAACAATAGTCCAAGGCTTGACCACTGTGGATTAGAACTAGCAATCGCATTCCACCCTGAACTCACCCCCATTAACTTCTACACGCTGTGTACAATTTCAGGATCAAAACCTGTGATGTAATTGCCTGGTGAAAGGGTCAAATGCGTAAAAAACAGCAAATGAAATGGAAATGTTCTGTACTTGCCTCCAGACTGGGTACGAAGAAGTCATCGCAGATGATGGCCAGACCAAGGAACATGTAGAGAGCACCCAAAAGGTACAGAGGCACGAAGCCCCTCTGGCCACATGTAGACAACCAGCCCTCGTCTGAATTTCCCTTGCCCAAGTAGAACATCTCAGGTGGGTATGTCACTCTAAAAAACAAAACAAACGCATAAAAGTGCATCAATAACTTAACAAATCCATTCATACTCCATTAAACCTTTTTAAAAAATTATTCCACCGCATTAGAACTTTTCAAACAAAAACGTTGAAAACTTAACACAATGGTAAGAAAATGATTCTGAGTTTTCAACACTCCAAATGAAGTTTTCTTCATGTTTGTTATACAAAGGTTATATTGAGAAGAAACATAGTGATTGAAAAACAAAATAATACTGAAAATGTTTTCAATTGAAAAAAAAAAAACTTTATTGATTTTAGAAATGAGCATCAATTGTGAACACACTCTTAAATAAAATTTTCATAATTAGGGGCTGAGTCTTCGACTTGCCATTCAAGCGGACAATCATCTGAACAAACTGTCACAGCAGTCTTGAAGCAATATGGCATCAGCAAAAACTTTAGAATAAGAAAGCTTAAACTAATTTCGATTAAATATAGTCAATATTGCTTTGTTCTGGAGTAGAAAACGAAAATCACCAAAGCAGCGAAAGGTAACAAAAACACGAGAAACACAAGAAAAAATTATTGGCACTTTTTCTCTCCACCATATGTAAAATTTTACAAGAAAAATGTTTGTTCGCATTGCCCGATTGGAATCATACGGACCAAAAACGCCACGACAAACATATTTGGTCTTCATGCGTAAACTTATAAAACCCCTTATTGTACAAAAAACTTTTACGCTAATGCACGGTGAGGGGAGGGAAAAGCGCCGAAAGGTTGAGCAAAAACATATTTTGATCAGATAGCAAAAGCAGAAACGACAGAACATAAGAAAAACAAAAGAAAATTGTTTTTCTTGGTGGCTCAAAATAAAATAAAAACTAGTTAAAGACGAACATTGGTTCATTTTGAACCCAATAACGCACAACTAGCATCTACGGTGTTTTAAAATTCGTTAAGAAATCTCAAAAGTGGCAAGTAGCAAAGAATGTTCGAACCACTATTTGTGCAAACAATTAAAAAAATGTTTTTTTTTTCATTTTATTTTCAAATTAGTGTCAATTTTTGTGCGTTGTGTGATGATAAAACTATACAAGCGCATATGAAGTGGGATAACTGGTCATAATTCACCAAATTTGTCTTAGAAAAATGAAGAGAGAACAAAAAAATTGATGTTTTTTTTCTAATTTTTAGTAGAATTATTTTTATATTTCTCAGATTTTTATGCCAAGTAAGCTCTAGGAAAGCTACCATATCTAGTTTTCCCACAGCAAAAATTAATTTTTCAGTACTTGAATGGAGTTTTTTTCAAGACCTACTTACTCGCAATAATACTAAAAAAATACTAAAAGTCGAAATCGAAATACGAAAACTAAAAATCGAAATAATACTAAAAATCAAAACCCTCAAAACAGTTTTTCTCGACACTGGCACATATTTTTAACACAGAGGCGAAAATGCACTTCGCAAAACCAGCGAGAGAAGGACAAAAAATAGCTCTAAAAGTTTCAAGAAGTAAAAAAAGGAAAAAAGAGACCCTCTGTGCAGGAATCGAACTCCCGGCCTGCAGATTAAAAATCACGCGTCCTAGCATCTGCCACATGGTCGCTTAACATTAATTAAACTTCAAACGACCAGCTAAACCTGGAAGTACCTGTTCGATAATATTTTTAAAACACTTACAGCTGCAAAAACTAATTCGTACATTTCGAAGTGCCAAAACTGGACATTTACGAAGTCCATAGCTGATTCCTACCAATAAAATCAAGGAAACCACGCTTTTGCTGGACCAATTACATATTCATTTGATTATTTTTCCAGGAGTTTTTGTGAAATTCATAAAAAACCAAAAATGGTTCAAGCAGTGAAACATTTTCGTAGCGGATTTCCTCTCAAAATTGGGAAAATTCGTTCATACACAGAATACCTTTACAGTTTTTTCTTTCGATTAAGTCCTCAGATTGGTTGATCTAACCGTGGCTTTCAAAAAATACATCAACGAAAAAAAAAATCAAGAAACGAAATTTTGCTACGGCCAAAACTGCTTATCTATAAATACCAGGGCATAGCCTCTATGAAGAGACAGTTCCTAGCCCACGTTCTTTCGATTGAACTTTTAATCTTAGCTTTGGCACTGTAGTTTTCAAGAAAACTCAGAAATTTTCCTAAAAACTGTCAACATTTCGAAAGATAAGCTTTTCCTTTATTCAAAATTTTATTCTCACAAGACTAGGGTTCAATTTCTACGAAGAGCGAATAACTTGCACCATTTCTTTAGATTCAAGCCTTTCTCTCAGATTTGGTAGGGTAGTTTCTGAGAAAATTTTCTGAAAAACAAGCTAAGATTTGAAAGTTCTACATTTTTAGGGGACAACTTTGAAATTTAAGGTTAGAGATTTAATCGACAAAACAGATTTTTTTAATTTTTGCTGCTAACTAGTTTCGTCCTAATTTTTAAAAATTAAGACGAAAATAGTAGGCAGCAAAAACTCAAAATATCTATTCTGTCGATTTAATCTTGAACCTTAGATTTCAAAACTTGGACATTTTCTAAGGCCAAAACTATTTCAATTAGAAAACTAATTAAATAACCAAAATTTAAAAATTGGTCAGCAATCAAGAAAAAGAGGTCGGCAAACAGCTAAATACATTGGAAGAAAACATGAGAAAATTGCCGAAAAACAAAGTCGGAAAAAATCAATGAACAAGAATGTGTAAAAACAGACTCCTTTTAAACTTTCGGTGTGATAAATATTAAGTTTCATGAATCTTTTCTGATGGACGCTTTCTTCATAAAACTTTTCCAATAAGAAAAAACTGGGTCAGTAGCTAGGCATGTTCGATATTGATAGTATGACAACTGTTTACTTTAAAAAATAAATGAAAAATTCAATTGAAAAAAAAAATTGTGCAGTGATTAATTTCTTCACTCACACGAATGTGCAAAAAAATTACTGGAGTACAAATAGGTTTGCGAAGCTGAAATAAACTCTTATCCTACTATCAGGCGCAGAATCCAGGATTTTCAACTAACATAAGTCTGCACGGTCGTTTTATTCACTTCGAAATTAGAATTGAAATAAAAAAAAACTTAAATCGTTTTTTTTTTCGACTCAGAAAATATTTAGGTTTTCAGAATGTCGTTCTATTAAAAGCCCTCAAAATATTATATTACTCGACCCAGTCCAATGCTTGTATCTAGAAGCTAATTTTGCGTGGAGAAACTTTAACTTTCAAATATCAGCGAAAATTTGAAAAACCAAAACTTTAAAAAAATTCAAAATTACGCTTTTACTGTGTTACTTTTTTTTTACTATGTTCATTGAATCTTAATAAAAATGAAGATATACTTATCGAGCGGTCGAAAGGTCAATAATTCAAAGTATGTAGTGGATTCCTAGAAAAATTTGCTATAGCAGTGAGTACTCTTTCAGCTGTTCTTTCTATTGAACCCTTAACCTCAGATTTGGTACGAAAGCTATCGAGAAATGCAAAGTACTTCCAAATGAATAACGTTTTGCTACATTCAACATTCTTTTTCAACAATAATTAGGGCGTAGCCCCTAAGAAGATAAATTTCCTCGAATTTATTCTTGTTTTTCTTTGAACCCTTAATCTTAGATGTGGAACTGTAGCTTAAAAAATCTGATATTTTCCAAAAACATTCAATGAACTCTTCTTTAATTTAAAATAGCTTTAAAAAGATAAGGTTCAGTTTTTACAGAGATAAAATTACTTTTCTACATTTTCTAGAAAACCTACGTTTAAATCATTCTTAATGCTTGTTGATGCTTTTGTTTTGTTTCAGTTTGTACATGCGTTTGTCGGTGAGTTAATTCAATTTTTTTTTACCTCTGTAGTATTTTAAAAATTCAGAAGTTTACCAGGAGGTATTTGCACATGCCGGCGTTCAACAAACCACCGGCATTGACAAGTTCCATACGTACGAGACGTGGAAAACCGAATAAAGATGTGGGAGACATTGCCAGATTTGCCAGCGAATAAGAGAGCTCTTTCTATTGCTCTAACGCTATCTGCAAGAGCACGAGAAGCTATTATGACATCTGATGTTGATCGATTCAGTACAAACGATGGTGTTAAATTACTTTTAGAAGACAAGTTATTCAAGAAAGATTTTGTAGATTTGGCAAAATCAGTGTAATCCGAGTTCAACAACTATACCAGAAGTAAAGCAGTCAGCATGAATGATTACGTAATTGATTTTGAACAGAAATATAATCAAGCGGAGAAGCATAAGAGGGAGTTACCAGATGCTGCTTTGGCCTTTAAAAGACTCGACAATGCTTTGTTGGATGATAACCACAAGCAGATGGCGCTATCTGCTTGCAAAGACCAAACTTTTGAGTCCATTAAAAGCGCTTTGAATCGCCTCTTCAAACCGCTGAACCTCCTAGCGTTGCTGTTTCTGACGTGAAAGAAAAATTTTACATGCTGGGTTAAGTTCGAACAATCACTTCCGTGGACGAAGCTTGAGACCATGGAGTAGAGGCTTTCAGAGACCTAATAATCGGTCTCAGTACAAAAATTCTGAAGGGCGAAATCCTGTTATAAACGGACAAGTAACCAGATATAAAGTGTGCGACTCAACTAGGGGCCCAGCTGAAAGCTGGAGAGACCTGTTTGATTATTTTAATATTGATTATTTTAAAATTGTTTTAAAATTTCAGGTTTCTCAAGTCGATAGCGCCCTTCCTACGCGAAAAAAGTGAAAGAGAAGCTTATGCATTCATTGGTAACGCTTTGGTAAAAAGTTTTCATGAGGGAACTTTTCAAGTCCATAGGTGTTTCCCTAGACAATAGGGGCCCAGCTGGAAGCTGGAGAGACCTGTTTGGTTATTTCAGAAAAAACGTTATACAAATTTTTGATGAAATACAAAAAAACTCAACACAAAGCCAATAGCACCAAGCAAAAGCGAGAAAACGTACGCATAGCGGATTCCATTGTCTAAAAAATACACACAATAAGTATATTGAATCTTTGTTCCAATGCCAAAAAACTTTTTAA